CCCCTGGCTGTTATTTAGAATTGCAAAGGCAAATATTCATTCAGGGATGATCCACTATTTTCAATAAATATATAAAATATATGTCAATTTTTCATCTATCGCCATCAGTACCAGTGAGCATAAAGACAATGCCTTATGGTTCAGCATTCGATGGTTGAAAGGTTGTGAGGTGCATCTCAGCCACTTACCAGAAATATACTTGATATGTTGAACATCAGGGAGGATGTGGCACTTTCTGTAATCAGTTCATAGGACAGCTGATCTGTGGTTCAAATTATGTCCCTAATCATTTACAGGAATTGTATTAAAAATCACAAATCATACCTGATCTTAAGTTCCCATTCTTAATCAAATTCATTTTTATTTCATCGATAGTTTTCTGTTGCCTAACATTTCAAAAATGGAAGTTAGGGATTCTTAAATATTGTTTTTCCATTAACTGCAATTAAGTCTTGAATGTAACTATTAAAAATGAAACAACAAATTAAAATATTTTTAAATATCTTTATTCCAGCAAAACACTCCAAAAATGTATACTAATTTACACATTTCCTAGTATGCTAATGGAACATTGGGCTTCTGTATATATGGTATTGCCCTGAGCAATATTTACAGCAAATGAAAATTGCTAGCCTTTGATGTACTTAAAATAGAAAAACCAAAGTGTTTATCTGACACCTTCACAATTTGCACTTGCTCTAGAGATGCATACTTCACAATTTCACTTTCCAAAGAAGTTATTTCTAGGAAATGAGGATAGCTGCATTCTCTAATTATCATGCAATTCTTTTGTGGATTGTTTGATGCAAACATGCACAATTCTTTAGGATTTTATCAAAAGAATTGTCATTTTGGACACATCAGGCAACATATATTTTAATAATATACATTTTCAGAAAGGCCATGTTAACTGTAATAAAATCACTGTGATATGAACTGTTAAGAGTAAAATTATTTTATCAAATTATGATGTATATTTATAGATTGACTGGTTCAAAATTGAATTCTTTGTTTGAGTTTGTTAATTGTGAATCAAATAAAATTACATTTTTTTAAATTTAAGAGAAAACAATGAATAATCAATTATGCTGCATGTTTAATTCATAATTTTGATTGTCAAAATCATTTCAATATAGATGTTTGAAACACTTTTTTTTTAAATTATGCAAAAGAACAGAAGAGAAACTATTTTTGGAAAATATAGTTCAAGCCCATATCTACAAAACCCGTTGTATGTACAATTTGGTAATCTTTTACATCATTTTAGCAAATTTCACAATGCATACTAAAACTATACTTCCATATCTAAAAATGGTCTACTTTCCATACACTCATTTCCTGTTAAAGGATTTTTTCCACAAACAGAAGTATTTACTCCCTTGAATTACAATGTAATGATATCATAGAAATAACAAATTTTGTTTAGTGCTTTAATAGCAAAATTTGGTAACTATTCCAATACAATTTATTCATCCATGGTCCAGTTTAAGTAGCAAAATTCATTTCATACTCTGTTCATTTTCTAAATTAGATAAACGAGACCACTGTCATAACCTTGTACATTTCATCATTTTACCCAACATTACAACAGGTAATGTTAAAATTCAATCCAGATGTCAGAAGGTCATTGAAATAAATTAATTATTTGTCAGTGTAAAATCCAAAACTCAAAATTGTATAATTTAACTCCTTCACAGTGTTAATTATTTTTGACAGAGTGTTACAAGAGTGAAATTAGTGATGCTAATTTCTCAATAAGTTGATATATACAATGCTGTGTATTATAACTTGGGAGAGAAAAAATATTTGGGGATTATCATAAGGAAACTTGCTCTGAAGGAATGATGACAATGATTACAGACAAATGTTTCACAGCACAGACGTATGAAGAAATCTTCAAAATACAAGTAGTGTGTGATATGAGTAGAAACATTATTTGAAGAGTTAATAAAGATTCTACTTGTGAAGAAACACATTTGATCACTCATTGATTCCTAATTCCATTATTTTGTATTGAATAATATCAAAGCAACCCACATTAGTGCCATTTAATGACTTAATAAACAGGAAAAATGTTACCATATATTAACAAAGATATTTAAAACTTTTCAATTACTATTACAGAATATCAGAGTGTCTAGGTCTCACATCTGTCATATTTTCTTGTTGGTAGTGTTAATATTGTACTTATGTTCAAGTGTGGCTATATTATAAATTTCAATGAAAGAAGATACAATCATAGAAATATTTTGAAATTATGTTTATTATGATTTAGTTTTAACAAGAAAAAGCACCATTGATGTGAAAGCTCTAAATCAAAATACATCTTTCAGTAAAGGATAGAATATATAAATTTTACAATGATGTTTATTCATGAATTTCTTAAACCTTTGAATTCATATAGGAGTTGCTGTGCTGAATTTCATTATGTTAATAATTTCTAAAATAAATGCCACTATTTTTTTGCAAGCTGTTGTAACTTTGTTTTGGGGAGTGTATTTCATTACCAGTTTTCCATAATTTAATTTCCAATTTACAGTTTTGAAAATTACACTACATTTTTTGTTGTTAGTTACATAATAAATGCTGTATATCAATGTTCTAGTATTATATGTACAATCAACTTTAATTTGAACAATAAATATTCAATTACCTTTAACGCACAATTGAAACAACAAGAACATAGCAACACAGACTTGCATACTTATTACGAATTACTTAGATAAATAAAATATCTAAGCCTTTTCAGACTGTGGGGCAATTTTTTATATTATCCATTTGACACTCAAAACACAATCTACCACTGCTTAGATGGAGACAGTTATGTGTGACTTTTTTTGAATTTTTGCTGTTTTGAGTTGTTGGTCATTAACAGGTTAGCTAAGATTTTTTTAACATTACATCATGTTTTATATGCAAGATATATTTAATGTACACCCTCATACAAACTGTATCCATACACAATATGGACTTCTGTAATACAATATTTCAACTAGCTAACAAGATTATAATAACTTTGAGTGAACTACTTGTAAAACAAACTGTTCTGTAAAGTTTTCTTTCTGAAACAATTATTCCTTTAAATAGCTACATTCTATGTAATATCATATATGATATACTTTACACAAGTGATGAGAGTAATCATCACTTCCTCTTCACTTGAGCGTGTTTTTCTATACAGTCTCAACCACAGCGAATGTATTTTTAAGCCACATATCAAGATTTTACTTCCCACATAATCTTATATACTCCAGTCATAACATTCTTGCAAACAATTTTAATAATGGCAAATTCTTCCTATATGAACATTATGGGTAGAACTGCATGTGACCATTACAACAAAATTTGTTAATGAGACATCTTTATTACTGAATACACAATCTCAAATCCACTAACACATGTTTAATAAAACCTGTTTTGCATTGATGTGAATTTTTTTATTACTCATATGAATAATATATTCAAAGCAATGCAAACAAGTTGAATTAAAAATTATTTATGATTTGAAATTAAGAAAATCTACTATGACTAATTTTAAGTATGGCTTAAACTGGGGGAGTAACAGTTTCAACCAGACCCATTGTAATCATAAAGTATAATTTTAAGAAGTCATTTTTGAAAGTGAGCCTGGTGTTGGGAGTAGTATACCAGGCTTTAACTTGGAAATACTAATTAGCAAGAGTGTAGTTTAAATACGTAATATTAGATTTAAAATTCATCGAGTACATGTAGATAATTACTGGTGTAATTTTGGAAATTAGTGTGTTGAAGATGTGTATTCATTTTGTATATCAATGCACTGTATGTACTTTCTTGAGATTTAAACTGCAGATAATTAATATTATTGTGAATTACTCGAAAATGAAGGTATGATTGACAATTTAGCTGGATACAGTAAAACATGAATTGGAATGTGCAAAGCATGTAGTTAATAAATGATGGATCATAGAACATCTTAAATTTGTTAACGAAAAGTGATTTTGTATTTTTAATAATTCTCATTTTATTAACTCTCAATTCATTTAAGAAAATCAATAATTTTGGTGATTTTTAAAAATGTCTTTGAAACCTTGCTCGATTAGGGCATTTTGTTAAGCCCTGGAATACAAAATAAAGGTCATTTCAACCAAGATGATATTAAAATTATGAAGGGTATATTTAATTTTCATTTTAATACCTTGCTATTATTTCAAGAACTATAAAAAAAATTGCAAAGGCATTTAGATCCAAAATATTAAACCCACTTCTTTTACTTAATGAAATATTTTAATTATTAAAACATTTGGGATTGTTGGCTTCATTTCTATAAACTACTTCATAATAACATACAAAATTTCTCTAATTCTACCAAAGAATAACATAACATAAAAATGGCAGTGTTTTCTTTGAATTAGTCAGCAACTGCATATATTTTAAGAGCTAAATTGCACTATAAAGCCTTAAATATTTATGATAATTATGCATTATTTCTTTCCTATATTTGCCACACTTCACACACACTGAAATATCACACATATAACATCTAATCAATAAATTCAGAGGAATATATTTAATTCATACAACTCTAAATATAGACACATAAATACACAGAGAATAACCATAATGGATCAAATGTACATACATAGTATTAATCAGAGTGCATTATTATGATATATGAACATACTTGACATTATGCAGCTGCTAACTATGCTATATAAAACATTGTTAAATTCCTTTTTGATATTTATAGTCAACATAGTACTGAGGTCATTACACGCATAATCTAAAAGACAAGTAACTTCAGGTCCTTTTTAAAAAACTGATTCTCTTAGCGTGATAATTAGAATGGCCATACAGCCTGAAAATTGCCTTGAGAATGTGGCACATGGGCGTTATCAGAGAGGCAGAAACCACGATGGAAGTCCTGAAAGCAATATCCAGGTTGCAGTTACTATAAAAACAAATTTTCAAATATTAACTTTTTTTGAGATAGATATTTCAAATTCATATTCACATCTTGCAAAAAAAAAAAAATTACATCAATTTCTGTTATTATGTAAAATAGAGAAAGTGTTTCAGACAATCTGCAATAATGGCAAATCACTAATCATCAAAAGTTATCAGATTTGTAAAACTTAATGAAATTTGAGCTTCCAACTTACTATGTTTCAAAGAATTATGCTTGTGCTGACCCTTGAGAATTCTTCTAAATAGAATTCATGCAATTATGCAAATTTATCTTTTGCCAATAGAATGGAAAACTCTGCCATTGCTATATAAGGACAAACAAGACAGATTTTTGCAGCAAGAGAGTAATTAACAGAATATCTCTTACATTGACATACAGTTGTAGAGCAGCTAAGAGGAAAGAACATGAAAATGTGGTATATATGAAAGAATGAGACTCGCAAGAGGCTGTGTTTAACAACCATCAGTGCTGAGTCTATGGCAAGGGCTCAGGATTGTCGGCACTCAAGCCCCGATAGTGAACACCCCTGTCGAGTCCCATCTAATAAAAACCTACAACTGTTACACCAACCTAAATTTTCAGTAATGCCCTTCTGCTGCAAAATTTGCTATCACAATTACTTACAATTATTCATAGTTCAGTCACACCAAGTTACAGCAGACACAATATTATGGTTTACAATAGTTTTACTTAAAAGGTGATGTATCTCATTTTAAAAACGATGCTAGCTGGCAGCTTAAAACCTTCACATTGTTACTCATATAACAGTCATTAAATTTTGTATGTTTATTATAATATACATAAATATATTTTTCTCATTTTGTATATTTTTCTCACATGCAATACAAACAGTACCAATACCTTTCTTACAATCAACATGTTCAAAGAGATTACAATAAATCACATATAGCGAATAAATTCTACAATCTACAGGATATTTTCATAAAGTAAAAACTTGATGGCAGCGATTTATCCAGCATTACAACATGAATATCTTAATAATATGTATCTCAATCCCAAATGTATTTTACCTAGTAAAATTTTACCAGGTAATACTGTAATATTTCATTCATAGTAAGAAATGCAAATTTCAGATTGCATCGTAACTTTGTAAACTCAATGTTAATTTAAAATTGAAAACCAAACAACATGCTTTTCAAAAAGAATAATGCCTTTGTTCATAGTTCTTTGGACATAAGATCAGTATCACCAGTGCACTGCAAAGTGCCCATTTTATGCAAGGTTAAAATCCATTAATTTTTCAGATTGACTATTTAATCATTGCTAAGCATAAAAGTAATTAATATAATTTAAATTAAATGAGTGAAATAGTGAGCAGCCTAGTTACTAGTTTTTTATAGATACCCTAAAGTTGCATATGTCTTCACAAAGGGAGTATCCATCTTACAGCTTTCCCTGTTACAAAAGAAAAACACATTTTATGACTAATTTAGGCCTTACTCCTGAGGTAAGTTGGGATTTGCAAGAAAATTTGAGTGAAGCTTTACAATGTTTTAAAAATATAGAATCTTCTCGGTCACTTCTATGAGCATGTAATGTAATGGAATCTCACAGATAAAGAGAAGGGGAACTTCAGAGAAAGTACACATGAGGCGTGTATGTGTTGTCATGAAAGTTCTGAAAACTTTTTTATTGCAGAAATAATCTTCTATTCTAATTTGGCACCATGATTTTTTTATATTGTGTAATCAGTTTCATAAACAAATGCAAAATAACATTTTATGATAGAACATGAAAACATTGTGTTCAATTTATAAGAACTATCAATAAAATGTTTTCACATGGGTATACAAAACAAAAACAAAAAACAAAATAAAATAATGACATACTGAAATGATAATTTGAACCACCCATATTCAACAACCTTTTGATTCTTCTGAACGAGTGATTTACAAATTACATTTACATGAAAGGGAAATTTAAAATAAATTGTTATTAGAACGCACAGAATTGTTAATAAGTAAGTAGTGAATATTTTCCTGGTAAAAATATTTTGTGTTCTTGACCAATGACTCAATGTTCTTGCTGGAAAGAGGAAGCTATATTTACCATTTATGCATTTTTTAAAGAGTAAAGAATTAAAGTGTATTTTTAATTGATTAATGTAAGAATCAAAATAAATTTATCAATTAAATTTTCCAAGTTTCACAGAAATATCCATGTGATAAAAACTGAACGAATTTCCATTGCATTCATGTGCTATGGACAATCAATAGCCTTTTAAATTACACTATAACAATGCCATCTGTTGACAACAGAGTCAGATAAACACATACATTCACAACTTCATGAACACAATTCAAAATGTAATTCTAAGTAATTTGGCACACGATTTGGATATTCTGACTCATTGAATAAAAACTCTCTCACCACATTAACTTTAAAGAAAACTAATAAAATAAAAGTTACAAGTTTATAAGAACCTCCAAGAAATTTTCACAAGGTGACACAAACTTTAAGATTTCAACAGTTTGCTCTTATCAAAAATTAGTATAATTATGCAATCATATATTTTGAAAATCTCTTTGTATAAATTACTAATTAATATTTTGCAAAAACTTTAAAAATTAGAGTACATACTGGAAGATAGGTAACCTGAGAAGAAAAAAAAAACAGAACACAGTAGAATTTATTTACTTACTCATCCTCCCAAGGACAAATTTCATTCGCTTTTCTTCCCTTAGGCTCTCTGCTCATTTCTTGCCAGGAGGTAGATACTTCAATACTACCTTCCGATTGCAGTTTGCAGCTTGTACCTGCTGTAGTTACTTCAGACTCTGATTTTTCAGGAATAATTTCTGCTGTTTTTGGCAAAGTCTGACAAGAAGTATTGTCAACTGTTTCATCTACCACTGAACTGACACTTATGACGGGTGCTGTAGATGAAGACACAGAAGATCGCTTTCGACCAACACTGCTACTAGATTTTTTATAGGTTCTCAAACATAATGGTTCATCAGCTTTACTGTATCTGTCACTACCACTTGGAACCATGACAGCAGAAGACTCAGTAGATGTTCCTACCATCACAGTGAAATCTTCAGGGGAAGACACTGAAGGCCTTGTGGCACTTTCTAGAATTTTCGTTGTGACAGATGACCTACGGGATTCTGCCAGTGGTCGCCCAATGGATGTGGTGGAATACTTACGAACATTTTGTATTCTTGCAATAACTTTCTCTTCTGGAGGAGCAGTATTAATAATCTTTTCCACATCGGTTGGTGGATTTGTGGCACTACTGCTACTAGGGGTTGGTTGCTGAATAGAACAAGACTTGCGCAATTTCTCAGAGACTTCTAAAGCAATACTAACATCCGATGAGGAACTACCAGAATCCATTTGGGATGAATTCTTTCGAGATGAGAAAGACTGACTCGGCCCACTATCCCACGGGCATGTGTCTGCACCCACACTGGGAGGGGCATTTGATATGCTGGATTTCTTTCCTCTAGAGGCAGCGGCAGTTGTTTCTGCATCACTTTCTGAGTGTTGAGGTACTTCTGGAATTGTAGAAGGAGAACTTGCCACAACTGATATACTCTTTTTCTTTTTATTATTTTGAGGAATTTCTGAATCACTTTCTGAGAGCTGTTGTTCTTGAGTGCTAGTAGCTGGTGGCTCTGCTGGCGTTTCCCAAGGACAAACATCATCTTTAAGATTTTCAGTATTAGCTCGTTTCTCAGCCTGAACCATTCCTCCTTCATCTAAAGATGTCCCAGCAGGAGGATCTCTGTAAATAAAATGCAAGATATCTTACTTGTAAAACAATAAAATTAAGTTTTAAAAATTACCTAGAAATGGATTTTTCTACAAAGTGGAAATGTTCTGCAGTTGAGTATATTATTAGTGTTTTCTAGACTTGTCTACAAATTTTCTTCCTAACTCTCTTTCTTGTCACCCATTGTTCATTGAGGCAAATAAAAAATTTTTAAAAAAATGTATATATATGAAACTTGATATGACTCTAAAATTTTCAAGTGTCTCATTTTTCTATTATTACATTGTGCCATTACTTACGAGAATTCTACTTTAGACGATCATGTATAATAAAACAAAATGCTTTGTTGAGAATGACAAACCATTCAAAAACATTAAAAAAAGTATCAATCATTTTTTGAGGTGTTGGAGAAACAAAAGAAATAGAGAACAATTATTGATTTCTTAATTTCATGAATATTGATATTAACATTAACAATGGTTTCAAAATAACCAAATCACATCGTCCTACGAATGATGAGAAAAATTATATCTAAAAAACTAGAACGAGTATTGCTCTACTATATTTCTGTCACTGAGGAAAAAAACTGTCTTTTCCTTCTTTCTTTCTTTCTTTTCTTTCAAAAGTTATTCAGGAATTCAGTTTTTCTCATACTCTGAGTAATATTAATAATAACAATAACTTAGACATTGTGTTTGATAATTGTATTACTTTTTATCATCACAAGAAGGGGAGACAGTTGTAACATTGGACACTTATATTTCAGACTATTTAGGCCAAGATAGTAATGTCTTATGGTTGTTGTTCAAGTTATTTTGTCAAAACATGCTGGAGTGCTCTAATGTTTTAATTCAAGTTCACACAAAAATTCATATTCACTGGTACACAAGTGTGCAAGTACACAAGTGTTTCAAGTTACAAGACTTTCATGTACCTCTGAACAACTTTCCAAATTTTGAATTTTCTTTAAAAAGGGGAATTTGTGTTTTAAAAGGGGAATTATTCATATTAAGGAAATTGATTGATGCTAAATATGCTTCTTTTAATTAAATATTTTGACATCAAAAAATAAAAGTGACTTGTGCTTCAAATGAATTAAAATGTTCAAAGTGTAACAATCTCTCCTATAAATTATGGTACTTCCCAATTTTTTAAAGATGCTTTTGATTGAAAAGCTTTATAGCTCCTATCAAATAAGAAATAATATTATGATATAAATAATACTTCATTTCTGGAGACTGTAAAGAAGAATAAATGAATCTGTCATGGTTGGACAATGAAAGCTATGAACATTTTTTGTTTGAAATGTTTGAAATGTTATCGGTATTACTGTATATAATGATTTTTCAGTAATTAAGATTTTATTTAAGCACATTCACTTGTGCATAATACATTTCAACATCAATGAAATTGACATTTTTTTCATATTACATATATTTTTTAAAACTGTTTTATAACTGTTAAGTTTCATGCATTTTTAGATGACAAACAATTTCAATGAAGAGATTAAAGTAAGATTTGTATTGAAGAAAGTTATGTGCAATAGTTTTAACATAAAAAAGATCATACAAATCATTTTCAGTTTTCTTTTTTACATTACCAAAAGTTCTAAAAAAATTGCAAAAAGAAACCAACACATATACACAGAGATTATCATTGAAATCCTACAAAAGACTACATAACACACAGAGCTAATTGTGAATTTTTGATTGCATCTGAATGTTTGAAACACATTATTTTTAAAGCAAATGTATTAAGGATTAAAAATAAAATAAATTTTACTTGAATATAATTTTTACTTTACAATTCACACTTGTAAGTTGAAAAGCTACTAAAAGAATACCAAGAAAAATAGAGAGCTTTTTGCAACACAATAATAAGAACTCAGTTTAAATATAATCAGTGGTGTTCAATCAGTTAGTATCTCATTTCCTCCAAAACCTAATGAAACAATATTGATATTCAGGAAACTTCAAAAAACTAACAGCTGATGAATTTTTTAAAAAAAATTGTCATATCAAAAATATCTGTTACTTCTTTTCTTTCCACATTATCATTAGGCTTTAAGCGAGAATTCTATTTTGTTATTACTTTTGATCCTAGTAACCAAGTACCTGATATTTTTCCTTGTGAAGTTTTTATTATAGTACCAAAAAAGGATTTTAAGATAAAACAGAAACAAATTTTTGGTAATTATTGTCTTGAAATGCAATCCTGGCTTTTGAATCTGACCAAAACGGTAAAATAATTTTGGAAAAGTTCCTTGCATTTCACTAAAAAACAAGACAAAATGCTTTCAATAATTTTATGAACTTTCAGGCTAGAATTTAGAAAATGAAAAAGTTATACTATCTGCTAATTATAATATAAATCTTATAGGAAATCTAAAGAAAAGAAATTGATCATAAATTATTGGTCTAAAAAATAAAATACAGCATAAATAAAATAAATGAAGCGGAATTGAAATTAAAGAATTGAATATTAATACATTCTTCTGAGATTTTTAATTTCTATGTCTGTTCAGGACATCTTTATCTCATCATCATCATTAATATTTAAGGTAAGTGTGGTAGCCTGATCCTTAGTTGCCAGTATTTGTTTTGATACTGGTTAGGTATTCCTCAATTCAATATTATTAACACATTTTTATTTTTGCTTCCTTATGTAATAGTAACTTTTTAAAAACCAAATAAATATTACTATCTGTTGGGGGAGATGTTTTATAGCAAGAATTAACTGTTTCGTATAAATACTTTTTTTTTGTCTTTTACATTAGAAGATTTCAAAAGGGATAATAACAACATTATCTATCATTTCATTTGGGAAGTGTCAATTTTCTCTCAAGCATTCACTCAAGGTCAGAATCTTTTTGAACTCCTAAAGTCCACCTCCAATTTAAGTAATCACATGATGTCATATGACTTCATGAGTTGTGTTGTAGGCAGTGACACACTGAGTATGAGAATATAGTTGTAACGATAGGTATGAGAAATTACAGCTTAATGTAACCAAATATTTGCATTTTGTCAAAATCAAAAATGTTTCATTGTTTTTGTATTTTTCCAATCTTTTAATTTAAATTAAAATTTAAATTAACAATTAATTTAAAACCCCACTCCTGCTTTTCCTAACATAATGGAAATGATCAAAGAATTCATATTTTAATACCTGATTTTACTAAACAATGTATATTATTTGAAGTACAATGTCATATAATATAATATATTTAAACCTTCAGATGAAATTTTATTAATTTGTTTATAAACCTTCCAAAAATGAAATTTTGCGAAAATTTTAATTAGTATCCTCATTTCTAAGTATTAGCAAATATGCTTTTTTTATTTTATGACACCACTGATTATTTCTTGGGACTTAACTCTACAGTGAAAAAAATGGAAGAAAATGAAATCTGAGACACTCTTTCTACACAAAATATTAGTGCCCAACACATGTGAATAGTAAAAAGTGCATGCAAAACACTGTTGCAATCTTCAAAATTGTAACATTTACATGTACATATTACTACACAGAAAACACCAAGAAATAAAAACAGTGCTTCATAAAGATGTCTGCCATTTAAATAGTAATTTTAATACATAAGAAGTAAATTTAGAAAGGGATTAAAAACAAATAAAATCAATAATGAAAACTTAATTTCAAAAATGTGGTTTTAGTTTGTTCTTTAAAGAATCATAAAATACTTAAGTATATATTTCTAACAGAAAAACAAAATTGAAAATAGAATATGATATTCTAAGTGGCAAGAACTGTAAAAAATAATTGTGTGAATAAGCATTCTTCCCAACCTTCCAGTAGGATAGAACACTTGTTTTTAAAAGTCCATTTAGATAGTAATATGATATGAGACAAAATATATTACAAACACATTTCACAACAGCAATGAAACTGGTAACAATCACATCAAGTGGATATTTCAATTCAATACACAGCAGTGAGAAACACACGAAATTAGGGAGAAAATCATTCACACGAGACAACAATGAGATTATGACCAATCTATAAATTAGGCAGAGCCTGCAACAAACTTACAGACTAAACCAAAGTGCAGAGGCCTTCGTCTGACAAGGCAGATCACCCCTGCAAACCAAGCCAATTTTTGTTACTACTATCAGCATCTTGAAATACATATTACAAAAACAGACATACAAACTGAAAAATGAAGGTCTTCTAATGAAAACAATTTCTGTCTGATCAGCTTCCTAATTTCTAAGTTATGGATCAAAGAGTATAGCTATATTATGGGCTACTTTATGCACTATCAATATAATAGTTTTTGAAAAATTTCTTCAGAACTTTTTGAAATTTTTGAATTCATCAAGATGTCTTTTTTATTTCCAAATTAAAAATGTTTTCACAACAAAACAAGTCAATGGAACAAAACTTTACTTTTGAGGAACAATACCTTTTTTTTTTTCAAATTTTCTCAATATTATCAAAGATTTAAAATTTTGAATATTTTTGAACAAAGTGCTCAAAATTGCATTTTATTATTTTCCAGGTTTGTTATAAGAACTTATAATTAAGAGTTGTGATAACATACTTTTAACTTAAAATTGAAATATATATTTTTTCATAGTGATGGTTGTGCCAGGTACTAATTCTGCAGTTGCAAGGTAAAAGTGTTCAAGTTCTTTGCTAAGACCTATCTACCTAAGAACTTATACACTTTGACCACAAAATTATACAGAACACTGTAAAATGGGCTCAATTATTAGGTTTAGTTTATTTATATATGAATACATAGGTTACTACATTATAAATTAAATGACTTAAGAATATTATAGCCTTTTAATTTATAACCTGAGGTTATTGATAATACCTTTGGTTTCTGTGTTTTTGCTTTGGGACAATTTATTTTTTGAGTGCTTTTAACTTTTGGTGTTGATCTCACACCTATAGGCAAACATAGAGTTATTGATTTAAATATTTGAATTAAAGATTTATTGGTACATTCAAATGACATGGTCATTTGTGCCAAACATGCTGAACAC